CTGAGTTTTAAATAAGACTCCAAAGCAATTGCGTGAAAGACATTCTGATGAATTAAAAGTCCATGAAGACCAGCACGTTTTACATTGTTTCTTTATAAAAATATGATTCATGTAGAAATTGGGGTCATAATTATTATAATCTTTGGCTCCATCTGTCAGAAAAATTTTATTCTGGCTCACCAAACATGCCAGTGCCTGTTTCCACAGAGGGAGGGGAGACTGTTGATGTAAAGTATCCACCTGAGAACACTTCTCAAATCCAGGGGTACGGCCCCTGGCCCTGACCACAGGCTGACCGCGTCCTCCTCAGCTCAGGACAGCTGTTGAGGTAAGCACTGATCACTTGCTTCTGATGTTTTAGAATGAAGAGCATCTGGGGGCTGTGGCCTGGGCAGCAGGGTGGAGAGAGAAGACAGGAGGAGACTGGCAGACAGGGAGGGCAGGGTCATTAGCCAGTGTTTGCCGTCAGTCTAGCTCCTGAAAGCTTGGACGGCCTCAAAGGTCCCAAACCCGCACATCATGCCCAAGGCTTGTGGCTGGCTTGCTAGTTCCCAGGGCCTATTATTTAGAGACCGTCTGTGTTACCCTACCAAACAACAGGGCCTCCTTCCCAGGCTTGCTCACCTGGCCACTGTCTCCTTCTGGGCAGTGGAAGGGTGTATCAAAGCGACTGAAGAAGTCAGTGGTTACTTCTTCTCCTGCTGTCTAGCTTGGTATTGTTTCGGCATCTCAGACACACCCATTTTAATTAATTATGAAGTATGTTTTGCAAGGCAGTTTTCTGCTTTATATGGGATACTTTTTTTTTTTTTTAAAGGAAAAATCATTGTGAAATCGCATGGTGATTAAGACAGAAGCAGCTGGAGGCAGTCTTGGAGTAGTGTGCGCTCAGGTGCATTTTCTTATGAAGACTTTGAATTGATTCCCAGGTCCCATGAAAAGCCGCTTGGGCCTCTGCCCTTAGCTTCTTCTCAGGTTGCAAGGCACCATGTATTTATTGGCCATATTGAACATCTGGGCCTCACAGCGAAAAGCTGAAACTCTGAAGACGATGAGCCTCTCCCAGGATCTCAACCTTTCAAGGGTGTGCACTATTTAAAACGGATGCCGGAGTGAACCCAGGTCCTCACCCAACCCAAACAAGGAAGGCTTTTACAGGAAGGACAACTTTTTCGGGGGAGGCAGATTTCCTTTTACCACAGTGCATTTTCGATGAAGAGGCGTGGTGGTGACGGGAGGTTAGAGCAAGGCATGGATGCCCCTGGCACAGCTGGCAGCAGGAGCCCATTGAAAAGCAGCCCACGGGGTCTGCACATCAGAACTCAAGGCCAACAGTGATTCCGAGACTGGGCTCTTCTGAAGAGCTGCTTCATCTGGGATATAAGACCACCCACATGTAAGATGCTGTTCTTGAACTACAAGCCCCTGGGCAGTACCAGATCCACAGATGCAATCTCCTGGAGGCGAGGATAGACGTCCCAGGTGACTAAGTACATGGAAATTTCAAACCACCTGGGTCTTTTTACTCACTGAAGGATGAGTAAAGGATCTCAGAGTCTAGAACAGCAATTGACCCAGTCCAACAAACACCTGTTGAATGAATGACAGCCCTAAGTGGTGGGAGCCTTTAGAGGCTCTAATTACTGATCTCTGTCAGACCATCTAATTTAGCACGCTGTCACAAAACTGGTAAAATGTCCTATCCCCCAAGGACATTTCTAGACTGGTGGGGAGTGGGGCGGGGCGGGGTGGGGGAGGAGCAGGGGAACGGGCCTCCAACTCGGTGGCAGCCTCAGCGAGCTGTCTCACCTTAGCCGCCCTCTCCTTGCCTGGAGAACTGCCAAAGTCAGGACAGAGCAAGTAGCAAACCTCACAGTTCTGTCCTCTGAAAAAGGGAAGGAAGGGACCTGTTAATTTAGGAGGAAGACCCCAAATTCAGCATGTGAGTCTGTCATTCTATTGGTAACTGAAGCTGGACATACTTCTTTAAGCTTTCCAGTTTTACTCCAAGGCTGAATCCTTCCTTAAGCATTCAAATCCCAGGACAGAACACAAAAGAAAACACCTTACTGTTTCAAAGATATATTAAACACCCACTGTCTCTTCACTCGGCCTGCTGCAGCCTGAGATGCTGAGGCAGGAGGACTGCCATTTTAAAAAGGATAGCTTGGACTACATAGCAACACCTGATTTCGGGGGCAGGTGGAAAGAAAGAGGGGAGGGAGACCTAGCACATCCTAAGGAAGAGTGGATATATATATATATATATATATATATATATATATATATATATATATACTACTGTATAGTATGCAGAGTGGAACACTGTTCAGCAATGTAAGGCGCAAAGAGTTGAAACTATCAATGTAGCCCGAACACACCACGCAAATTCAAAACAGCCACCTTTCAAACGTTATGGGTCGAATGGTGTGTGACTGTCATTTACAGTATTTCAGAAAATACAAAGCTCCAGCAAGGGAAAAGAGATCAGTGGCTGCCTGACCCAAGTTAGAAGTTGGAGTCAGATTTAAACCTAAGGGAACCTGGGGATGAAACAATGAATCTGCATCGATTAAATAGTTACATACTAAATCTATGCATGCATTCAAACTCATAGAACTGTGTGCCAAACAGTAGGGTCAATGCATGCAGAATGTCATTATGTTTTATGTTTTATTAAAACAGAACCCAGACATCCACGCAAAAGCTCCTTAGGTCTCTGAGACATTTTCTTTGCCTTTATCAACAAGGGAAACTCATGTACGGGTGGTCTTATAGTATGTGAGATAGAGGGGCCACTGTTAAGCACATGGTCTATGATAAGTACATTATATCTCCAGCCAAGTGCAGCATGTAATAACCCAGACGCTATCTTGTAGAAAATTCCTTTATTATAGTGCAAATAACTTTCAGCAGTGACATAATGTAACAACACATTTAACAACACTTTACACCACGCAGTAAATAAGAAAGTGTTTCTTTGAAAATATGTCATCCTAGGAACATTATCTTTACATTAATGCCAGAAAATGCCAAGGCTGTTTTCTCAAGGCAATAGGGCTCAATCCTGTTTTGGATATTTTCTCTTAATGCACACGGATTTGCCATTTAGTGCATTGACAATTCTAAGAGCGATCTCTTAGGGGGTTTTAGAGAAGTTGGCAAGATTTGAAACCGGGCTTCAAAATTTAAAAAAATATTAATTTTAAGACAATTCTGGGACAGCCCAGAAAGTAGAAGTCACTTCTATTACCTTGATAGACACATTTACTCCAATTTTGCTGCAGATTGTCTAAAGGCTGCTTATTTCCCCAGAGCCTGATGGTTTTGGTTATTGCAGAACTAGGGCTCTGGGTGGATATAACTCCTTATGTATGCAAATACTTTCCCGTGAAGCTTCAAATTGCACTTTCCATCCTGAAATTCCCACATTAGACCTCTCAGGCTGAGGAGGGTGTGAACGTGTCCTTGTTTCTAGCTAGCCATTAAGACAGTGGGATGTGTTCCCTATTTATTTAGCTAGTCCAAAATGAACCCATCACATCACTTAGAGGAGTCCCAGGAGGCCGGTCAGAGGACCCTGCTGACCTGTAGGGTGATCGTTTAACACTGTTTTCCACACCAAGAAGTCTGAGATCAGCTGCTACCGAGAGAAAAGTCACTTCTGACCTCTTCCACTCCCCTGGCTTCTGTCAATCACCCGCTTGGCCACTCAGAAGAGCCCTCTGGGGACAGGGGTGCTCACTACATGAGTCGAATCCAAGCTCGTACAAATATATTTCAGGGTACTTTCTAAGTCTTTTGACAGACACTCCTCAAAAGTGGCTTTTCAAGCCATGAGAAACTGATCACAGGCTGAAAAAGTACCTGGAGCTACGGAACAGCTCTCACGGCTGATTGTGGCTGAGAAGCAGCGGGTTCATAAAGCTCCGGAGGATGCAGCTGGTGTCGGTGGACAAGTCTTTGTATATAACACCATAGAACTGTGCTAAACAGTTTTTTTTTTTTTTTTTTTTTTTTAAAGATTTATTTATTATGTATACAGAAGAGGGGTGCCAGATCTCATTACAGATGGTTGTGAGCCACCATGTGGTTGCTGGGAATTGAACTCAGGACCTCTGGAAGAGCAGTCGGTGCTCCCAACCTCCGAGCCATCTCTCCAGCCCCCATTTTTTTTTTTTTTTTTTGAGCTGAGGATCGAACCCAGGGCCTTGCACTTGCTAGGCAAGCGCTCTACCACTGAGCTAAATCCCCAACCGCTAAACAGTTTTAAAGTTGAGAAGGCTCCAAATATATCACCTATCAAAAGTTCATTATTGGAGTTTGCTTCATTTATCTTAGACTTTGGTTCTGAAACACTGTCTACATTCTTGACACATGAAGAAGACATGGCCGCTTCAGTGCCTCTGCATGTGTAAAAAAACCTTAAAAGCAAAGCAGGACGAGGGGATGCCCTAATGAGACACGTACACTGGACAAACAAAACCTAAACTATATATAAACACACCCCGCCCAGCACGCCTTTCTTCTCCCACAACTGGCCAAAGCAATGCCAAGGGTCCTTCTCTCCAGGTCCTTCTCTCCAGGACCAATGCCGAGCGTGAAACACACTCCTGTGACTCCAACCATTCCGACCCTTGCAGATACATCAATAACCTGCAGCCTCCCCTCCAGACAGCTTCTAGCTGATCAGCTCTGCAAGGGCAGGGAAGCATGAACGCTGTCGGCTGGAATCAAAGACCCGAAACCCTGAGACTTAATCTCTCAGATGACCTCACTGGATCCCACCTTACCCTGCTTCCTGCAAAACCACACAGAGGCAAGGCAGTACGTCTGCTCAGAAGCTCCAAAGGCATTGCTTTAGGGATACTGGGGAGGGTCTCAGAAGAAAAATTACACAATGAGCTAACAGCCTAAGTTGATATAAATTATTTCCCAGTCAGTAATTTGGGGCAATTTGCTTCTGCCTTACACTGTGTGCTGGAATCATTTTCACAGGACACTATTAAAAACTGATATAATCGTTATTTTAAAAGTTGTCTATGCAATCACTTCCTATACGCTTTCCATTAATTTAATAACAACTTAACGAGCTATCATGTGAGTCTAGAGAGTAGTTAGCCTTACGGAAGGAAGCCCACACTGTGCTAATCCACAGGAAGGAGAAGAAGCAATGCAAACAGAAGTCCACATCATCGACAATGTTGCAAATCAACATCATCGACAATGTTGCAAATTTTCCCAAAGCACTTACAGCAATTTATGTTAAGAAGCCAAAGGTGAGGGGAGTGGAGAATATGCTCAAATTCCTTAAGGTATAGATCCACTTGTTTTATGCTTGGAATACATAATTTCCCCCTCAGACCTAAGTTCATAATCTGTAGACATTGCTCATTCTCTAATACATTGATACATACACTGATTATAAATAAATAACTGAGGAAGCTTAAAAAGCCGAGTTAACATGATGCTGTCCTAAAAAAACGAAACAAAACAAAAACAAAACAACCCCCAAGAAAACATACAAAACCAAACCTTGCACAATCTACATTCTATGTAAATACCCTGACTAAAATGTTGGTTGTGCTACGCAAGTCCACTTTAGTGCAGAGATGCATCGATTTGATGTACCGTTGTTGTTTTTAAGGTCGTTAGCACTTTTGTTTCTAAATATCATCTTGCTCTGAAATGATGAATAATTGCTACCAAATCACAAATCATCACAAATCCATTTTAGTTTAGTCTGAGTAAAATCCAGCATAAATGTATTACTTTGTTCTCGGCATAACGGCTCGGCATCTTTCTTGTGAGCTTTCTTCCTCTGGGCAAAGCGCAGATGAAGTTGTCATTCTGGACTTAAACTGCACAGAAAGAGACAGTGAAGTCTGCCTTTTGTTTTTGTTTTCTTTTTGAGTCTCCAGATCTTGCTAGGACACTACTTCTTTCAGACAGTCATGTAGTTGTGGCACCTGATCAGATGTGAAATAGAAGCGCTTTAACCATCAGCCAAGCTTGGTGATCTGGAGGTCCCCATTGATCTTTATGGTATCAATGGCAGATAATGTTTGAATACGATGGTAAAAATCAAAAAGTTGGTGTCCATCCACAAACACTCTGAAACGTGGGTGCTCGCAAAGAATCTCCACCTAGAAGAAACAAAGTAACAATTTAATGCACAATTTTGGATGAATCCTGCTGGAGGGAGGGAAAAACCCCAACAACAAACGCACACTTCATTGTAGAGAAGAAAAACAACACCCCCAGGGAATCTCAAACATCACAAGGTGCAGAAGCTAGCTAGAGTCCGGACTGCTGGGTTCCACACCCTCCAACTGTCAGCTCACGAGTCCGGGGCCCAGGAAGGGATGAGGGGCTGGAGCAAGGAGTCCACTTTGAGAACCACTGCTGTGTATCAGTGAAAGGTTTTCAGCGGGAGGCTGTGACAGCCCTTCTGAGCTCCACGCACAGGTACAAAAGGGCACAGGTCTGATAGTCTAAAACGATGCCCTCACGTCCCTTGCTGAACAATTCCATCCCACCTACAGGGGAGCCGCTCCTGAGGCATGACTGCTCCATTAGCAGAATCTAATAATAGTCTAGACAAACATGGTAACCACTGAGAGGGAGGACTACACAGTAATTACCACTGGACAAGAATGTGTAATTAACAAGGCTTTGTTAAGACAAACAAACACTGAGTCCACATGGGAAACACTTTTCCATAATTCACCATAGAGGTTTCTTTTTCTTTTTTAGAGCTGGGGTTTCTCTGTGTAGCCCTGGCTGTCCTGGAACTCACTCTGTAGACCAGGCTGGGTTTGGCCTGCCTCTGTCTCTGTGCACCACCACCACCACCACCGCCACAACTACCACCACCACCACCACCATCACCCACCACCATCCTCTGTCTCTGTGCACCACCCCCCCCACACCTACCACAACCACCACCACCACCACCACCATCACCCACCACCATCACCACCAACACCAACACCATCATTAAAACATGGAATGAAGTAGAAAGGCCTTTGGGAATTGTTACCTGTGGATCCTTTCTCTTGCTGAATGGCAACTAGAAGGTACCATTCTTTGTCAGGAGCCCCGTCTCCCAGGCTCTGTGGATGGCGCTGACAAACGTGAGCTGGCTCACATTCTCCTTTGCTAATGGCTGTCCAGTGCTAAACTTCACAGACTTTCCCC